TCTTTCCTGTATTCTTATTGTTGGTTATTTTTTTTTTTATTTAAGTTTTGATTCTATGTGTTCAGTAAGGTTCTGGAGTTGTGCAGCAGCAGCACAGAAAGAAGTACCTTGTAATCATTTGTAAACATTAAGATGATTAATTGTTAGTTCCTTAAATGCATCCTACTGGTTTTTGTGAATGTCTGCCTTAGAATTGAGGCCTGGGGAATATTTTTGCAGATGGGATTAGATCCAATCAAAACTCAAAAGTTTAATAAATAAATAGTTATTCAAAGTCGAAGTTTATTTTTATTTTATTTGAAAAAGAAAAAAGATTTTGGATCCTGATTTAACGTAACTACGATTAGATATAGATTATTTTCAGAAGAAGCCTTTATAGGACTAACAAATAGATTGTTTTTAACAAAATTGTAGTGATAAAAAAATTATTACGTGGAAGAATGAATAATTAAATAAAATTATTATGTTGAAGATTGATCATTTTTGAGTTTGTGATTGAATATTAGATATAATGTAATAATTAAAATTGATGTGATAAAGAAATAGTAAATAACTATTCCGAATTAATGATAACTAAAAATATTTGAGTGAGTGAATAGTGGAATTTGTTCGTAAAACATGTAGTCATGATTGATTTATATTTTTCAGTTGTGGTGATAAGAAAAAATAAAAATAGACAAAAAAAAAAATGTATTATATTTCAAAAAATTATATAATACACGTTTAGTGAAATAAGAATTTGTCCTACAAAATAAAATTGAATGAATATAATTCATATGCATTGCTCCCTAGTACTCTCATTTGTTATCTGTTATGATGAATTTATCATAAAGGACACCACTGCAGGGTAAAATGTTTTGATTATAGGTTAAATTACAATCAACATACCAACACGGAATAAAATGTAAACACAAACACTAAACTACATTGCCACCCCCAATTTGATTTTCTATTACAATATTTTCCATAGTAAATTTCAAAACATCAGTGGACTGAAAAGAAAAACCAAGAAGAAACACAGGAGAATTACTACAAGCATTATTACTAGGAAGCAATTACACAAAGACAATGACTAGAAAATGAGAAGAACACATTGGAATTAGAAAAAAAAAAGAAAAAAAGAAAAGATACAACAGCCTCAGGCAATGAAATCTGCTTATGAGTCGAGCTGCACTAAACGAGCATCGATCAAACGTCTCATATTCCACACACATTAGTCTTACGGTGAAACTTATCAGTAACCCTCTGATTCAATATTTTACATCAGATTAGCATTCGATTGAGTTCAGACACATTTTGAAAGTAATGTTAAATGATCTCTTGAGATTCACAATTCTGAATAACTTCTCTTTTCACACTATTTTACAAGATGGAACAGCCTTTGTTCCCTTTCTTCTTCTTCCTCTTCTTTTGATTTGGAGGTTGCAATACTATCTTAATAGCAGCATCAAAAACTGTCTTCACATTCTGCATTCGAAAAATACGAAAAATGTGTATATATGCTATCATCAGAAAAAAATGCAATTTTTTTTTTCTCGAAAAATTTCTGAATTGTACCTGTTGAGTTTTTGAACTGCACTCAATGTACACAGGGGCACCAATCATTTTCCTGAGTTCCTCTCCCTGGATAAGAGAAAATTCCAACGGGTCGTTTATATGAAATCGAGGGATTAAAGAAAAAACTAAATGGGTATTGCGAGAAAATGATGGATGTTTGGAATATTTTTTACTTGCCTGGGCTGTGGTGATTGGAACTGCTCCCGGATGATTGAGAAAGAACTGCTTATCGTCTCTAAGATCTGTGTACAAAGAGAAAAAAAAAAAATGTAAATAGTAGAACTAGAAGTATATTAACATTTTTTTAAAAAAATTGGTAACTGAACATTTTTTAGCATTGGTAAAATAGCTAATAAAAATGAGTGCTTTGATCGGGTATTTTCCTACAATGACGCTTATATTAAATTGAATTTGTTTAGCAAATATTTGAAAGCAATTCATCTGCATTTTTAGTTTTTTACTTGCTTCCAATCAAATTACGCATAATCTCAAAAGTTGATACTGAAAAACAGTAAAAAGAGCGAAAATCCAACAATCACTTCCGTTGAATTCTTGCAGACATGCCTAAAAAATGTCAGACCTTTCTATTAGATAAGCTAATTCAGAATAGTTTTACGGAGTAAAAGCTCACATGCAAATTACTATTTTCCACAAAACTGAAAAGTGATAACTGATACAAATAGGACAGTATGAGCATATCATGGTGTACACACATAAAAAGAAAAAAAAAAATATCTTACCGAGCTTTGTCCCAACAAGAATTATAGGAACATCTGGGGCATAATGCCTCAGTTCTGGAATCCACTAAACAAAACCGAAAAAAGAGAAGATTAGCAATAGAGTACCACAATGCAAAAAATGGAAGACAAAACAAAATACTTTCGATAAAGTTCTAACCTTTTTCGCAATGTTTTCATAGCTGGCCTTGCTAATGAGTGAGAAAGCAAGAAGGAACACATCAGCTCCACGATAGCTTAAGGGCCTTAGTCTATTGTAATCCTCTTGACCTGAGATTCACGACGTTAACTCAAAATAAGAAATAAATCGAGCCCATTTGAAATTTTCCTATCACATAAAAAAAAAAAAAAAAAAANAAAAAAAAAAAAAAAAAAATGTATTCCAAGAACTACCTGCAGTATCCCACAAACCCAAATTGACTGTGCTGCCATCAACAACTACATTTGCACTGAAATTGTCGAAAACTGTTGGAACATAATCCTGCAATAATAATAATAATTCGAGGACTAAATGGTTAAGTGACTAGTCAAGATAATGAAAGATCCATAAGTTAATAGAGAAATTAGATACAAATATCCAAACAAGAGATCGAATTCATAAGAATTATATATGGAGAATTTTAGAGTTATGAATTTATGAACATCATATTTATGCAAATCTGTGGTAAATGGAAGTGTGAAACAGAACAGAACTTCCAATTATCGAAAATTTTGTTATTCAAGAAAGCATTTAACTCCACATCCCACATATTTAACAGCCTGAATCAAATCACATTTCAATATATCGATTGATATCGGTACACATACAATGAACAGGATAAATTTCACAAAATGAATGCTAATTTTTATCCTAACCCCCAAATCAAGAAAAGAAAAAGGAAAAACCAAGAGAATCATACCATAGCACAATCCTTACCAAGAATCAAGCTAGAAACTGTTAAAGAAAAATGTCATAACTTGATGAAAATAATCAAGAACTGGGACAACATTACAAAGTTTTGAAGAGAATGTCCAAATAAGACAATCAGGCATTTACTTGAAAACAAAAAAAAAAATAACCAAAATGTATTAAGTAGAAGAAAAATCAAACAAATTGTTGTTTTCAAAAGGGGAAAATTGAACTGACCGTTGGAAATGTGTTGCTGGTGTAAGAAATCAACATGCAAGTTTTCCCAACAGCCCCATCACCCACAGTCACACACTTAATGAATTTTGTTGCGCTCATTTTTTCAAGAACCCTTCTGTCACTGTCCGATTTCAAGTTCAACTTTTTTTTAAAGAAAAAAAAAAATGGGTTCTTTGATATGAATCAAGATCGAAGAAACTCAAAAACCCATCTCAAGAAATTTCACAGACAAGACAAAAATACAATAGAAATTCATTTTCATTTCCCATAAGTAGTTGCTGAGACAGAAGGGCAATGCCTGTGCTCTGCTGGAGAAAAAAGATTGATGACAGCCTTTTTTCCAATCTCTCGAAATCTTTTTTATTGGACAGGTGTGACGAGTGAGAGAGCAGATTTGGTTGAAAATCTGATTAACAAAATTTGACTGCGCGATAAAGGTTCTTTTTATTTTTACCATACACCAAATATAGTCATCCCCCAATCGTCAACTTGGGTTTGATTAATAAAGTTGATTGATTTGAATTCAAAACACTGTGATGAATTGAAGTCAGATGGTTGGCGTGACTCGCAGGTTGCTCGAACCAAAATCATTTGTTTTCGAATTTATTGCCCATCTTTGTGAATATGAACGGTCCCGCTATGCCTCCGGACGGAGTTGGCGGGCCATCAAGGAGCAATTTTGATATGGGAAATTTACACACATATTAAGCTAATAATTGCAGATTTATGGTTGTAAACAATTATTTGCATAATACTATATTGATGATAAATAATTATATGTATGCCTAATCTCTTTGCACCAAAAAAAACGCCCACAACCTAAAATTTCGGATGTCATTTGTAATTAAATAACATCATTAATATATCAATCCGTTATATATGGAATGNGCTCCACAACTTAAAATTTCAAATGTCATTTGTAATTAAATAAACCATTAACATATCTGTCCGTTATATATCCCACACATAACCTAAAATATTTTTTATGATGTAGTGGTCCCATATATTTAAAACTGAGTTATTATTAGAACACGCACGACATTTAAGTTACGCACAGTATAATCACTTGTGTTGCACAGTATATAATAATACGTATATATAATGTTTATGATTTATGGTACAGAACACACACGACCTCTCTGTTTGTTATGCATATGATTACCCATACATGAATAATTTTATTTTTTATCACTTAATTCACCTTTGTATGTCTAGTTTATAGAACAACTTATATTGAGTTTTCTTAACTTGCATATGTCTGTACAATTACACAATATACCATTTGTGTATGTTGGGTATACAGAGTCCCATGTTTTTGTACATATATATATTTCAACCTTATATGCATAAGGGTATATAATATGTTTATGTTGGGTATATGTAGTCCCATGTTTTTGTACATATATATATTTCAACATTATATGCATAACGGTATATGATATGTTTATGTTGAGTGATGCTCAAACATGATTGATGATAAAGATATACAGGTCATATGCCTTTTATCCTACATTACAAAATTATGTGCATAATGGTATAAAACAAGCTTATGTTAGAGTATATAGTGTGTTACTAATGATGCAATCATACTTGTAATAGGAATAGGGTCATAGGGAAAGGGATTTTATCGGAACTCAATAACTAACGCTAAAATTGGCGGCTCGTTCAATTTGATTCTTGTGAGAGGATTACTTAGAGGAGTACAGAAGGTATGTATAGTCATTTGAACTGTTTCAGTATATTGAATTTTTACGCTGATAGAAAGCCACATAGGACTTTCCATACTGTATTACTGATCTCTTGCTTTTTTTGGTAGGCTCTTGTAAGTATAGCAGTATTTTTCATAATTATATAACATATTGTACACGGGCTGTAAATAATTGCTATTTCTGTTACTAGGATGAAATTGCTTTCTTGTTTGTAGTTTCTAACTGGAAAACTTCATTTTTATTCGTAATCTTCATTGTCACACAAATGCCAAATAGCTTCACATATTTATAGCTAAACTAGTGTGTATCCCGTGCGCTGCACGGAGGGGTTTTTACTTAAAACCTTTTCTAAGACTTTATATTAAACATAGTTATTTATGTTTTAACATCTTATTATTATAAAAAAAGAAATACCAAATATGAAAAATTATATATTATTTATTTGAATATAATGAGTGTCCCCAACCAAACTAATAACATCCAACATATGATATATGATAAAATTAATTATATGATCGTCATACTTTTTGAAAAAATATACATATATTTCTAATAAACATGTAAGATCCGCATTTAAATTTGTATTTGGATATGAGATGAAAAATGAATATGTACAAATAAAAAAGTACCAAGAACCTACATAAAATGAGATTCTTTATAAACTTTAAAATATTTTGTAGTTAAGCAAATATTAACAAACAAAATCATCAATTAAGTTGAACTTATCGAATATAAAATATAATTTATGATATCATTGACCATATTTACCCGTTGTATTTAAAGTTATCATTGACCATATTTTTATGAATTAAGGTTTACAAAATATCTTTTTCAAAATAACAATTTTTTTTAATTTGAATTTGACTTTTTCATCCAACCGCCATTTTCCACAAAAATAAAAATAGTATTTTGGAAAATTTTAGACGTGAAAATCAAATAAAATTAATTTAATAGTAATCGATTAATTTAATATTATTCAAAATTGTTTAATTCGGTCAACCCGATCTTAGTGCACGTTTAATTGAAACAATCGCTTAAAAAAAAAAAGGTAATCGCTTACAAAAAAAGGAAGTGAAATCTATCTATATAATATAAATCGGATTTGAAAAAAAAAAGGAAATGAAATTTCATAATTAATTAATTTAAATTGATGTTATCCGATTTATATCAACTCCCTTAAAAAAAAAAAGGAAATATCCGATTCCTACCAAATCGATTCAAAAAAAAAAAGGATTATGATATACGTCCAAATAAATTACAATTGAAATGTAGGCGGGATTATTAAAAAAAAAAATAAAAAAACTTTACCGAATAAAGTAATAAAACGAAAAAAAAAGCGGGAATATGAAGCGGGAAAATAAGATAATTTTTTTTGAGTTTTTTGAACAATTTTTCTTAGTCGTAATAATAGTAATAGATTTCCAAAATGTTACCACACATTTTTTTCTATTTTTCTTGTTTTTATTAAATTTTATTTACATAAGATATACATTGGTTAATTTTAAATTGAATCTAAAAGTCAACTCCTCACACTTTTCGAAAAATGTTACCACACAATTTTTTTTTTCTTATTATGTTTTATTTACATAAGATATACATTAGTGGTTAATTTCAAATTAAATCTAAAATTCAACTTCTCACATTCTTGAATTTGAATTTTTAAATAAGGAAATGTGTTTCCATATTTTTTGGTAGTTAGAATATGTTGGATTCATTTATCTATAACTAATCATACACGTATTCAAAATTTGAACCGAAACAAAATTCTTTGAATTTTTTGCTAACAAAATCACCTTCCCATAATTTATTTATTTCAAAAAATGTCACCACACAATCTTTTTTATTTTGTTTTTCTATTAAATTTTATTTACATAAAATATACATTTGTTAATATTAAATTGAATTTAAAATTCAACTCATCACAAATTTGTATATATATATATATATATATATATAGAGAGAGAGAGAGAGGGGATTCTCTTTTTTGTACATATTTAAAAAAAATCTAATCAAATTTTGAATCCCGAATTAAAATCGAATTGTAATGTGAACTGAAAAGATTTGAAATCTAATCATGTTGTAGATAAGGGAAATCCATGGCTAAAAAAGGGGATGAAAAAAATTCAAATTAAATTTAAGGGGGAAAAACAGTTTTTTAAGCGGGAATTTGAAATATTTTTTCAAACATTTTTTCTTCTCCGTATTATATAGTAATAGATGACTACTAATTGCTAAATAAGTCTAAGTAAATACTAATATAATAGTAAAATGCTACATGTACATAATAATAAATGTACATAGATGAGTACATAACACTCACATGGAGTGAGGTCCACTTGATTTTTTATTTTTGGTAGGTCCCACTTAATGTGAGTGCTATGTACACCCCTATGTACAATATCATGTACATGCAGTATTTCCCAATATAATATAAAGCTCCGTTTGTTTTGAGTGATTTACTGAGGAATTTGAAATCCATAGATTTCAAATTTACAAGTTAAAATCCTCATGCATGTTGGGATGGTAATGGATGTTGGAGGATTTCAAATTCATGTTAGATGTTTTTTAGTCATTATTTTGAAGGATTTGAAATGACTCCTCAAACCTAGTCATTTGAAATCCACTGTTTATCACCGTGGACGACCACGCCGTCCGTGATCATTTAGGTTCATCACCACCGCGAGTCAATACCATCGGTGCGAGCTAGATAATTTATTTATAATATTTTCAACACATCCATTCAAGGAGTGTGCAACTACAAAAAATTATGTTTCAAAAATTTTGAAATCAAGGGATTTCAAATCCCTCAAAACAAACGGAGCCTAAGAATATTTATGGCGTATCAATCTTCATATTCTTGTGGCACAAATTAGACTGTCGCTCAGACCTGTTGAGTTGAGGTCGCTCATGAGATTTTTATTGAATATATATTAATCAGTACCGTGTATTATACGAGAATTTGTTAAGAAAATTATATTTAAAATTAAAAATAATAACAACGAGAAAAATGTTTAAATTTTTAAATATTTTTTTGAAAAATTATATTACTATTTATATGTAAAATGACACTTATCACTATTACGACATATTATCTTATATTATAATAATTTTTTAGTTATATATACAATATAACAATTTTGTATTTCTAGTTTGGTGGTGGCGAGGAGTTAGTTTGGGGAGGGGAGACTTTACTCTATGTTATCATTTTTTTTTCTAGTTTTTTGTTTTTATTTCTTTTTTGTTTTAGTATGTGTTCTTGTTGGTGTGTTTTTATGCTTTTCAATCCCCTTATTGGAGTTTTATATTCTCCTATGTGGGAGTTATGTAGTTTTTTGTTTAGATTGTATTTGCTTATATTGTGTGCTCTAGCCTACCTTTGTGCAAACCTCTCCATAGATTAAGTTTAATTAAGTTATTTATTCGGTTATTTCTAATTGTTTTTTAGTCTTCTATACCTGTATTCACAATACAGGTCTATTCGTTTGAANGACTCCAAGTCAATGACTCCATCCAATTAAAAACCTAAAGAAACTTCCACCTTCTCCTCACACAAGTCATACAAAACCATGATAATTATTAAGCTTCACAAAAATTTAAAACCAAAAACAAAACCATGAACTCAGTCGAAGAAAGACTCACAATCTCCACCCAAGACACACTTCTTCCCCACCACCCAAAAGCCATTAATAACCACCGAAAAGCCTCCCTCTTGGCCTTGCTCGTTTTAGCCCTTCTCCTATCAAGCTCCACGCTTTTCTTCTTCATATCCAACCACAAACTAGTCAACCGGCCCAAATCCAATTCCTACGAAATGGGCTCGGCCCAATACTACTGCCATCTCACTCCCTACACCTCGTTGTGCTACGACACAATTCCCGCCGTCCTCAACGCAACGGCCCTCAAATCGGGCCCGGGCCCAATCTTCTCGGCCTCCCTTCAAGTCGCGGTTGATCTCCTCCACAAAATCGACTTCACCATGTCCGATATTGGGCCTTCCTTATCCGGGCCCAGGATGTCGGCCTGCCGGAGTTGGGTGAACGGCTCGTTGAGTCTACTCGGCGAGTCGCTGGCCGTGTCGGGTGTTGGGTCGGACTACGAGTCGTTGACCTGTGAGGAGATGGACAGGATTAAGACATTGAACCTCCAAGCCGTGGCCGGTGGCGGAAAGTGTTTGTCGGTGTTGGAGGAGATTGATGATGACGTGGAGGAGACGGGAGTGGAGGTAGTGAAAATGGGAGTGGAGAGAGCAAGGAGGTCCATTGTCAATAGCCTTGGGTTGTTTGATTCTAGGGATTACATACTGAACGATTTCTACACTCCTTATTATGTGTATGATTATTATGATGGGTTTTACGATTTTGGTTATGGGTTCGTGGGTTGGTTTTACTTTGGTATGTATGTTTTCTTGGCTTTGCTCTATTTCTTGTTTTGGGGAGATGTATGATGAGAAGATTTTTTGGTGAATAAAGTGAGAGTACTTTTGTTTCTATAATTAGGTTCGATTAGGCTCAAAAAATGAATTTTTAAATAACTTTCTGTAATTCAATTCGTTAAAACTCGAATTCTGCTAATTAATATTGATAAACGAGTTGAACTCAAACTCGATTTTTGTCTCGTTTACTTTCTTTGAGTTCTTAAAATAGTAGGATTAATTTTGCACGAACACGTAGGTCATCTTTTGATGGGTCAATTTGAAAGTGTCAAAGTCTTGCCCGAACTTACACTCATGCAATAAAATTACACTTTTTTTTAAGCTAATCAAGTTATTGTTTCACCGTGATTTTACAAAATATATTGATTTAATTATAATTTTCATACTTATTCAAAAGTATGTAAACTCAATCTGTTTGGTAAATCTAGTTCATCGATAGTAAGTTAATTTTGAATCGATAACTAATGTTTAAAATTCTACTTAATATAATTATAACAATAAATTAGCTATTTTTTCAATTGTAATAAAATTTTCAATAGTTTTTTTTATTTTTTTCAAAACACTACACGAAGAAACATTTGTAATAAGTTTATCCTGCAAATCCGAACTTATAAGGTAAAGAGTCAGTTTGGTTAAAATTTAGGATAGGGCTTGATTATTTCCCAATAATTATATCAATCTGCCATGTTAACAAATTCAATAACACTTAATAGTGATTGGTTAGTATAATGGTTGTATGATATCAACCAATTACAAGTGTTAGTTATGTATTACTTTATTGAGTTTTAAATTTTAATCCAAAATAATGTTATTTTAAGCACAGTCCAAACTCCAAACAGAAATCGTGTTCTCCATCTCCAAATTGTCTGTCCCCATAAGTTCCACATGCATCTTTCTGTGAACTTCGTTCAAACAGAAATAGCATGTCTCTCATCATTTCCCCCTTAGGATTTATACAATTCGTCTATTAATGTTTATCAAAGGAGGAAGAAAAAAAACATCTTCCTAGAAAACAAAAGGAAAATTTGGGAATCCAAATCATTTCAAGATAAAGAAGGACTGTATTAACAATGATTTTTTTTTCCATTATCTCTTTTTTTTTTCCTTCTTTGTGTTCCCATTGTTTTTTTATTTATTATTTATGAATTAGTGGTGTAGTAAATTATTTTTTGAGTAGGGTATATAAGATAATTTTTTTTTTTCAGTGTGGGCCTAAGCCCACACTGGCCCTTATAAGGCTACGCCATTGCTCATAATTCTCCAATAGCGTGCTTACGAAAATTGTCGAGGAAATGAAAAAAAAAATCTCGATAGCACATGCTCTTTTACGTAAGGGCATTTTAGTAAATTAGTAAAATCTCATTTCAAGTGGGATATATGGTATCCCTTGTAAGGAGCCAGATGTGGTATATCATACGGGTGGGTGTAGTCCAGGATAGTTCGAGATTTAACCTGTCTAGCTACAAATAGATTATAGGTCGGTATTATTTAGGATCGGACAAAACTGGACAAACATATAAACTGAATCAAAGAGTATTGATTCCCTAAAAGTTAAAATAAACAATAAACATATTGATTCCGTAATTTCGATCAAAACACATACCGTTTCAAGTATTCACTTAAACAAAATTACCAAAGAATATTGATTCCATTAAAACAAACATAATCTATTAAGTTTAAGTCACCACTCACCAACATCTAAAATTTAAAAACCAAATTACTAAATGCATTGTTTGGATTTTTTTTTTTTGCCATATTATTTAGTTTTGGCTTGGACCGTTAGGTCATTTTGGCATTCAAGCTTCAATAACTTCTAACTTTGTAATAAATTGAAGCTTGAATGCCAAAATGACCTATTGTTAATTATGTAATTGATACTATAATACTAATATAAAATATAATAATAGATAATACTTGGTACAAAAAAATAAAACGGAACAAATTGGACGGGTCGTGACTAAAATATTCAAAACCGATACCAATGTTGTTTAAAACGGTTCGACACCGAGAATGTGACAAAAATAAAGAAAACCTTTTGGAACCTTATTATTCAGAACGGAACCATTTCGGTTTAGTTCGCTACGTAAAAACTCCTAGTATCCCAATTTTGGGTACAACGGGCTTCACAAATTTCAAAGGGTCGACTTTAAACTAGCCAAACACATTAATAGACATAAAATATTAACAAAGAGAAGGATATCAAACCATATCACCAAACAAGCCCACATAAAATAAACTATAATCTAAGCTAACTTAATACTAAGGGGTGATTGGATATAAAATATTTTGGATTTGGAAGATAAAAGAAATTAATTTTGAAAAAAAAAAAAGAAGAAAAAACTAGTTAAGTGAAATTTTGAATTTGAATTCAACTAATATTTAAAATGTAATGATTAAATTTGATATGATCTAAAAGTAAGAAAAAAACTATTGAAAATGATATGTCATTAAAACTATGTGAGTTGATAAATAGTAAATTGAAGTTATTGTTATATGTGAGGATGGTTGATTGATTTATTTAATTATATTGATAATATTGAAAAAATTTAAATTAGATTAATATTGAGTTAAATTTTAATATAAAAAATTGTAAAAAAAAATGTTCCGTTATAATTGGATAAATTTATATCCAATTAGACATGGCCAAAACACGGTCTGGCCTCGCGGGCCGAAGGGTTGGGTTTCATGGACCCTGAACTGGCACGGACCTAGGGTCGTGCCGGGTCCATGGCCCAGCGAGCCGAGCCGAGCCCACCCAGATAAAAAAATAAATAAAAATAAAAAATTTAAAAACAATGTGTTTTTCCCTGCCGGGCCAGGGTTGACAAAAACAAGGCCCTGGACCAACCCGGTTGTAATCCGTGCCGGGCCAGTGGGCCAGGAGGCCCGTGGCCACGTCTATTTAATCCAATGGCTCCCAAAATACACAATACTCTTAATTTATTAAATTGACCCCTACCAAACTGGTATCATAATTATTGAAATATCTTCACCGAATAGAGAGACTTAGACACGAAGCTCCTCGAGGTCCCCATTTACATAATTAATTCTACAGGAATTTGGAAATGTTATAACCACTCAATTATTTAGCCCACAGACCAGACACTAACCACCACCTCAATTCAACCAAGTAAAAGATTTGGATACAATCACCATAAAATTAATTCCAAAACATTGTTAGTTATTTTTCAGTCATTTGGTCATCTCCATTTATTTTACAGACTGAATTTTTGGAAACCCTTTCTTTAGAATCCTCCCCAAACCCAAGCCCTCTAAACCAAACGGGGGACAAGAGGTTTCAACAGATCCATCTTGCAATGAGTCCTCATATGTCCTCATATTGAACCGACTTATGGAACTATATAAAACTATTCACAAATACTACATTGATATGTATAATAAATAAATATGTTTGGAACAAATATCGACACATCACTTCATGAATGAGAGGATTATTCGATGACTCCATAGGATTTTAGTTCAATAGATATAAGTTCAATAGATATATATACTTTTAAACTAAAATGTTACACTGTCAAGAACAACATAAACAAAAATATGACATTCCCTAACATAAATATGTATTTTTTTGTTAGAAAAATTTGGAGGGCTAGTTAGGTTCGCTCATACAAAGATTAATGTAGAAAAGATATATAAAATTCTAATAATAAATTTAAAAACGAGTGATTCTACTACTAAAACTACAGACCAACCACTAGTGATCAAAAAACAATAGTTGAACTCAAAGATAAGTTCCCTCTTGTCATGTTTAATTGCAAGCTACAACAACATAGTACCTAACAACAGCTGGAGCCTTGAAGAAATATTCCAAGCACGAATTATACCAAAAAATAAGGGGGGAAAAAATCTGTCTTATCAGATAAATTGAAGTGTCCCCTGCACAAATAGAAAAACAAAAGAAGGAAAATCCAAGTGCATCCACATTTTTATTTAAGATCAACAATAAAAATAAATAGAAAAAAAAAAAACCTAAGACCCTGTACAACCACCAATGTACTATGCCCTCATCAATTAACTAACAAGGACAAAACTCAAAACAACCAAGTGTTTGCACCATTCATGTCATAACTTCTAATGTACTATGCACAATTCATGTCATAACTTCTAAACCATCTATAAGCCACTATATTTCGCGGCGAACTACTTTTTCGCCCATTCGTAATTATCGAACGAGGAGCCTTCGAAACCATGATTGATTGCATTAGTTCAAGCTTGAGTGAAGAACAATAATTTCTATAATACAATACACTTCACATTCACATCATATGTATATACATGGACAAAACAAGATGAAGTTCGTTTTAATGGGATATTGTTGCACTACTAATTACAATGTATATTAGTATATTAAGAAAGATGAAATAAACAGTAAAATGGATGATGGCAAGCATTTATCTATATCTTATAACCTATTTACAATAGACATTTTTTTAAGAAGAAAAAAAAAACATTAATATCATGAAATTATGCTCCAAAAATACTCTTCAATTTGCCTGATTTTTTTCTTCAATTACTCTTCAATTCGCTTCATTTTTCATTCAATTACTCTTCTAATGATGCTGGGGGAGGCGGAAACGGACCTGCGACGCCGGCGACTTCACGGCGACCCCGTGCCAGCAGATGCCGCCGCGGCACATCTCGTGGCCGCGTTCCCTTGCCGCCATGAGCGCGTGCGCGGCCTTGCGCGAGACGTCCCAGGCGAGGCTCGCGACCAGGATCGCCGCCACCACCGCCGTGGAGAGGATGAGGACGGAGGCGCCGCCGAAGCTCCGGCCGGCCGCCATCCCGTAGGCCTTCATCGCGGCGATCACCACCAGGTAGAGAGACGTCAGATTCCCGGCCACCGCGCTGGAGATCGCCATCGTCCGGCGGAAGGCGGCGGGAGGAGAAAATTGGTGGGGGGCGGATTCTTTGTGCGGTGGGTGGGGGGATTTTCAATGG